ATGCTCAGGCCGCTGGGAGAACCCACACGTTGTAAGAGTCGGGGCGTGCAGGGACTAAAGGGAAATGCTGTACCCCTGGCTGAAAAGGAAACCGATCACAAGTAACCAGCTAATCCTAAAAACTACAGGGAAGAACTGTCTTTCATGTAGAGGTAGCGCTGAGTGTTAGGGGAAAGAGGCTTTCCAATTTGTTTGTCTTGCTCCACTGTTTTGTGGCAACTGAGCAAATGAGGAAGGTTAAATTAGCTGTCATAATGACTACACCATGTTTAATAAAGTTAAAATTGGGAGAGCGTCTTTATAAAATAGAATTCTAAGTCTCACACATTAATGGTGCTTAATGAACCAAACCTAGGTAAATCCCTTTAGCGAGCCAACACATAAACAAAGCCATTAATTAGGTCACAGTTGTTTCTCAACAAGCCTTTTGTTTGATTTACTTACAGTAAACAAAACTATATCCATCCGTCTTTGTGCAGAAGTATTCACCAGTGCAACAAAATGCAATTATTACACCTTAAGCCCTTCAATTACACGACTTTATGATGACAAGGCTGTTGGTTATGCCCTTCATTAGCATCCGTCACTTCCCTAGCCACTGCCTGAGCCTGGCACTGCCCTCTGGAGCATTCAGCTTTGCAGCTGGATTGACTTGCCTCTTAGAATAACAGAATGGAAAATCATTTGCTTTCTGGAAAGGGAATAGGCAAGAAAAAAATGATTCAAAAATCAAAGGTTTGAGAAAGAACATTACTGGTTGCTATAGTATGGATCTTGAGGGGGCCCTCAAAGACCCATGGTTTGTTAAAGGCTTGGTACCTGGGATGGTGCTATGGGGAGATGGAACATTTGAGAGGAGGGGCCTAGTGGGAGGTCACTGGGGGTGGGGGTGTTCTTCAGGGGGATGTGTGGGATTCTGTCTCCGTCCTTACTCTCTTTTGCATCCTAGCCATGAGATAAGCAGTTCTGCTCTGCCACACATTCTTGCTATGATGTGCTGCCTCTCCACAGGCCCAAAACAACAAAACCATCTGACTGTGACCTGAAATCTCCAAAACAGTGAGTCAAAACAAATCTTTTCTCTTTATCAGTCCATTATCTCAGGTATTTTATATAGTGACAGACACAATGAGTAACACATTGGTGCTCTGCTGAATTGAAAGCCTGCTGACGGCCAGATGCTCTAGAACATACATAATAGAAGGTTTCAGCCTGGGCTGGGTAAAGAAGTCAGATGCATGTCTCTTTGGTCCCTTGAGGCAAAATCCCACCATTCCCTCTGAAAGAAGTCAGGAAAAGAAACCAGCTCAAGTGATCATTTACATCTCCTAGTGGGACCTTCTGTGATGCTGCTAATGACCTGTGGTCAGGGAACCCTAAATTGAAGATTTCCCAACACTGAAGTTGGGAGTGGGAGGGGCAGCTCCATGGTGAAATGTAGGGTCATCTCAGTGGTCAAAAGTCAAAGGGAAGTCTCCTTCAAGTCACCTTCTCTCCAGATACTCGGGTGGCAACCCTAGAAATCAAGTGTCAACTCCTCCCTCCCCTCATATCCCACATTCCATCCATTACAGTTCAATTGCCCTACTTTGTTATTTACCTCAAACACATTAATTTCACCTCTCTACTGTTAACACCTTAGTCTAAGCCACCAACATGGGAGGCAGGAGGATAGCATAATTATCAGCATGAGAGTGAATGCCCACTCGAAGAACTGTGGCTTTACCTATAACAGATATGGGGGTGAAGCTTGAGAAGGAGGCAGGGGTCAGGCTAATCACTGCTTTGTAAAACCACGTTAAGCATTTAGATATAAACACTGATCACAGGAGAAAAAAAACTGAGGTTCTCAAAAATTTACCAGGACACTCTGGTAAGTAAAACATTAAATTCATTGACACATTTTGACAATGTCAACAAAGCTGAATGGTTAAGGGGACAATCATGAACTAGACATTCATGTCTGTGGATCAAATGCAGATTGGTAAGATTAAAGAGTGACCAGTTTCTGTCCTGCCTTGGAATATCTCTATCCAACAAGACTCCATCTGCCCTGGGCAGCTTTCTTGAGCCTTTGGGGACCAGCTCAAAGTGGATCCTAGCTTCTTTTGGCTCTTGCTGCCTATCAATAAGTAAGAAACTTGTTCTGTACAACTTATTGCATGTGAGTGTGTCTGTCTCACAGTTCTCAGGCACTGGTAACTCTGCAGCACAGGATGCACTGGGCTGTGTGTACTCTTATTCCTGGTAGCTGGCACTGTGATAATCACTGCTGTCCTCCATGCAGTGGAAGTCTTCCCTGGGATTGGTTATAATTTTCCATTTACCATTCACGAACAGAATTCCAGGAAGACACAATGAAGGACCACGGATGATTAATACTAAATAGTGTCTCTAGATTCTAACATCATTGTCTGGCAATGTCACATGGTCACTCTAAGAAGTCTGCTGGAGTGACCTGCATCTTACTGCAGTGTTGCAATGTTCCAGAAGGACAACCTCACTGCTTGAAGCTTAAAACATTCTTTTGGTTGGGACTGCCCCACTCCAGCTGTGTAGCTCAGTGGAACTCATTTCCCTGTACACACCCAGCTCTGGGGAGTGCCAAGGCTAAAAGGACTGCTTCAATGGTGATAGTCTGGTATTTTCTCAAATTCCTCACTGATGATCTTATCGGAAAATGCATGTGAGGGAGGGCAGGAGATAACATTCCAGATACAGCCCAAGACATCAAGAGACAGTGTCATTGTCACTGGATATACAGAAGGCTGAATACCAATGATTGCTTATAAACCTGTTTAGCCTGGGCCATTAAAACAGTCATGGTGGAAGCTCCACCTGTGTCTTCTCACGGACTACTCAGGCCTTCTCGAATCAATTTCCCTCTTCACTATCAATCAGAGTAGCACTGAATTCTAGTCAGTGATGATAGTTAGCTGCCCACAAGCTGATGAAAATCAGCCCAGCACCACAGGGTGTGGTTGTCCTGAAAACAATTTCCATTTCTTTGGGTTTATCTGAGGCTAAAGGTTTTTTTTCTTTGAGGGATGTCTTTCTTATCATTTTGTAAAGCCACACTGTATGATTTATTGAAACTGAGCAAGAAACAAAAGGAAAGAAGAGAGGAGAGAGATAAGTGAGCAAGAGATGAGAAAGGAAATATGGAAGAAAAGACTGAATTACTGAGGAAGAAAGAGCCAATCAAATCTGGAAAGAAGATACCAGGTAAACTATTCAGAGGTCACAGCTTGAAGTCAGTTACGTGTGAAGCCCCCAGCCTGACCAGAGCATGACTCACAGGTTATACTCTGACCTGTGATGCTGGGCCAGTCCTAGTGTACAGGCTCTTTGGCCAGAGGACTCTGCTAGGTTCTGCTAATAGGGAGCCCTAGGAAGATAAAGGTGAGATGCAGACAAATGGTCTTGCTGGTTTCTGCTGTTCTGGCCAGTGGCACCTTAGCATCTAGCTTTCAGTTTCTATTAGCACGTCTAGAACCAGCCTCAACAGTCTCCCTCAGAAACATGACTCCTCCAACGTCTGAACATTAGTGCTTTAGGAAGCTTCCTCAGAGTTTTTAGTCTGGAGATCTGTCCCAGATGCTACTATACTTATCACCCCAGTGTTTCCTTCACACTCCCAACCTTCCCATTCCTATGTAGCAGGTTTCTATATTCAATCCTTTCTGTTGAAATCGTTATGGATACACCACTTTATTTAAAAATATTATTTTTAACTGGCAAACTGTAAACAATTACAGTTATGGGGCTCAAAGTGGTGTTTTGTACCCTAATGTACAGAATATGTAAAAACTGTGGAATGTATAAAGTCAAGTTCATTTATGGATTATTTTGAGGTAAGACATTTGAAATTCACTTACTATTTACTACTGTCACCCTGGTGTACAATAGATCTCAAGACTTAATTCTTCTTACCTGACTGAAATTTTGTACCCTTTGGTTAACATTTCCTCATTCCCTTACTTCCTAACCCCATTACCATGCCTTTGGTAAATTTCAACGTTTTTAGATTTCACATATGAGTGAGATCATACAGCATCTGTCTTTCTGTGCTGGACTTATTTCATTTAGCATAATTTCTTCTGCCTGCATTCATCCACACTGACTGAACTTACTTCAATTTTAAGGCTGAGTGGGATCATGTTGTGTATATACACCACATTTTCTTTAGCTATTCATGCAATGATGGACACTTAGGTTGATTTTGTATCTTGCCTACTGTGAATAATGCTGCAATAAACCTGGGAGACCCCTTTGATATACTGATTTCATTTCCTTTTGCTATATACCCAAAAGCAGAATTACTGGATTATGTGGTAGCTTTTTTAGGTTTTTGAGGGGTCTCCAAATTGTTTTCCTTAATGGCTGTGCTAATTTGCATCCTACCAACAGTGTGTGAGCATTGACTAGGCTCTTTCTAAATGTGGATGGGTCTTCTCACATCTTCCCCTCTGACAACACACCTTGTGAACGTCCAAATAGCTGAGATGTTTTGCAACCTTACCCAACAACCTCCTGAAAGTCTAGCTGTTTGCTTAAGGGAACTCAACAAATTGAAATGAGACAAAGAAAATGACATTGTCCTAAAACTCTATAATATTAAGCTTAGCATCATAGTTGCTTATTGATTTATTCATTAATTTTTTTAGTGGAACTGGGATTTGAACTAAGGACATTCCACTTGCTAAGCAGGTGCTCTATCACTTGAGCTGTACCCCCAGCCCTATAAGTTGTATCTCAGATTTGGGATATTTTCATTGGTTGGTTATCTTATAGAAAAATGGCAATTTAAATAACTTAACAGGCTATTATTCAATAGCACTGAATGTGTAGTTAAGAACTTGAGTAATTGTCGGGAATAAGTGGACAAATTAACAGAAAAATAACTTATTGGGGGTTTCTGTCAACTTCTGTAAGGAGGGACACATTGAAAAATTGAGTATCAATGAAAGCCACTGGAATCCCACAGGGGAAGGACTCACCATTATCTTGTCACTGTCAATAATGGTGTTCAGTCTGTGTGCAATAGTCAGCACAGTGCACTGGGCAAATTTCTCCCGGATTTTTTTTTGTATTAACTCATCAGTTCTGGAATCAAAGTCAAATGTAATTTAGTAAAGATGGGAAAAGTAGACTTAAGACTTTTAAAAGATCATATGACACTTTAAAATGTTTTGAAGCTCAGTATTTTAAGATATAATTTTGTTCTTAAAAACTAAGTATAAAAGTCAACTTAGAAATTTCACTATTTTACACAAAACAAGGGAAATATTTTCCCCTACGAATGGCTTGAAACTACAGGAGTGGAATTTAGAAAGCTATCTTCCTCAGGATGCTTAAACCATTCCTTATCTGAAATGCCTGGGACAAGAAGGTTTTGTATTCTGGATTTTGAAGTATTTATATATACATAAGGAGCTACATGGTCTGAGGATAATTTTATATAATATTTTAAGTAATTCTGTGTTTGAAACAAAGTTAGTGCGTGACTGCACTAACTGAAGGGACTGGAAGGGTCTTTGTTTTCCTCCAAAGGAATGAATGCTGGACCTCTGTTTTGACTATGACCCATCACACAAAATCACGTGTGGAATTTTCCACTTGTAGCATCATGTTGGTGTTCAGAAAGTTTTGAATTTTAGAGCATTTCGGATTTCAGAGTTTGGTTGTACAGAAGCTCAACACACAATATCACTGGCACTACAGAACGTGTTTTGGTTTCTTCGTTTTCCAGAATTAATATTACCAGGGTTTATCTTTGGGGCAAACAGAGCACTTAGAAACATTCATCATATCATTACATGTTTTCCATTTACCACATTTAAAATGCAGATTTCAGCTCTGTACCTTGGATCCACATTCGCTGTTGCTTCATCAATAATCAATATCCGATTCTTCTTGAGAATTGCCCTGGCAAGGCATACTAATTGTCTCTGTCCAACACTAAAATTGGATCCTGATTCTGCTAATTCAGTATCCATCTTACCAGGAAGATCTTCAATGGCTTCTTTAAGTTGTACCTGTAGACGTAGAAAGAACAATATTTTTCTAAACAAGAAGTAGACAAGCCTCTCTGATATCAGAACTTTGAAGTTCTTCTTCCTGGAAGACTTATCTTATGTGACACATATCCTCATGACATTGAGAGCTCCCGTTAATGCTGTTAGAAAGGTGGCAGCATCTATTCAGAACAGAAATCATCTCACTTAAAAGAACAAACTTAATGGATACACGGTCCTTCTCTGTTATCAATAAAGCACAGGCCTAAGTTAACACTGCTGGTGCAAATTTCATTAAAAAAATACACAGTATGTTAAACAAAATTATTCTCCAGGTAACGAAAAGCAAAAAGAAAAATTCCCCTTCTTATTTTTTAGTTAAAAGGTAATTGCAGAAATGTATAGAGACAAAAAGCAGAAGAGAATGGTGATTACACACCTTCTGGAGGATTAACTGTAAAAGAACACAAAAGAAACTTCTGGGGTGACAGAAGTGTTCTAAAATGGGATTGTTGTGATGGCTGCATTACACCACACTACAAATTTACCAAAGTCACTGAATCACACTTATGAAAGGGGCATTTTCTGGTCTGTAAATTATAGCCCAACGAAGTTGGTAAAAAAACATCATCTCAGTGCCCTGTCACCTAACCTCCCTTAATGCCACATGACCTCCCTCAAGAACCCCTCCCAAGAAGCCATGGAAATCTTTCAAAAATGAAGCTCTTTCTTACAACATGCATGGCATCTCTATAGAAAAGCTAAAAAGGATTGTTACAGTTGAATCGAGTTTCCCAAGGGATATTTTGCACAGGAGGTAGTACACTAAAAGGAAATTAAAAACAGAAACATAACTGCAGGAAGTATGGTTCTCTAAAGGTAATCCTATTGGTATTTTACCATTTTGGAAGACTTTAACCAACTACAACATTTTAAACAAGTTCAAACAATGGGAACCTGTACCTCAAACATCAGGATCTCTGAATCTTCTTTCCAAAGTTTAATTCCGTATCACTAAAGCAGTCAAGAGCATGTACTTCAATATCATAAATGTTTTGCAATGAATGACAACACTACAGGCTGTGGAGTGTTTATATTAATCTATTCTTTAAAAAGTAAAGTGGGGGGGGGCAGGAGGAGAAATGACCCAAACAAGGTACACACATGTGAATAAATGAATAAAAAAAAAAGTAATAAGATGATGTGAGACTACATTAGGTGAGGGTTCAATTCAAAAAATATTTCTTTTGTAGAGGTTTTATAGAACAAAAGTCAAACTCAGGTTATACTTGAGAAATGCTGAAGAGTAAAGAGTCAATACTCCTAAGATGAAGAGATCAGCACATTGATGAGTGATGGCCAATGAGCAATTACCATCAAACAAAAAACCAATGGCAAGTGGAGAACACTTCCATGTTGCCCTAAATTGCTGAAGCACTTCTATGACATGCTCGAGTTGTGTTCACAGTGGCCAACCCTAAGAAACGGGAATTTGGAATTCATATTAAATATGGTGTTGGTACTTAGTGCTAGTGTGAAAGATAGGCAAATATGAAAAATCTGAGAGTATAAGCTTTGGACTGTGGTGCAAGACCTTGCATCAAAAATTACAGAACAGATGTCAGCTTGGTCAAGCCCCTCCACTACAACCAAGAGGACTTACTGGGTTCTATTCTTATGAGACAGATTTGCCATGGTGATAGAACTGATCGAAAGGTGGCAATGGCAAGGTTTTCTCTGCTTCCCTTCTGAGAGGACTTTAGTAATATGGTACATGCAGATGGGTCTTTCTTAAGATCCATAATCATACTTTGAAGGAATAGTCCCACTGACTAAGGTGACATTCTTATTGCTTGTCTGGTTTTCATCCTTCTTCAGGTTGTCCATATCTACCTGAAGAGGAATAAGGGTTTTGAGGTGACTATCTCTGCACATGTTTTCCAGAAAAATGTCTTCTGAAACTCTGTCTTCATTTACGAAGCAGGAATAGTCATGCAAGTGATACACATGTGAAGGTCTTCTGTTGTTTTATCATGCATTCAAGTATGATTACATATTAGAATGGAAAAAAAAAGAGGCAACCGAACATAGTAAAAGTGGTAAAGGGGAAGTGTGAAAACATTTGACAGTGGCATTATATCACTAACAAATTTCTTGAGTGAGCTAAGTATTATGTTATATGGAAGAATGTTCCTGTTGTTAGAAGGTATATATTTACATATTTCTTAAATATGCATTGCAACTTAATGAAAATGTCTGTAAGGTAACTTCAAATGGTGCAGTAAAACTTAGACCCTACAGGAGAGGAGGCGGATGTGGCAAAACATTAGCAATTGGGGGCTCTAGATGAAGGCTGTGTGTTCTTCATACTACTCCATCACCCCTTCTATGATTTGGAGTTTTTAAAATAAAAATTGGACCTTTGACTTCAGACAGCCTAGGCTTCAGTCTTGCCTGGCCCTGCCAACTAGGTAAGTTCCTGAACTTTCTCTACCTTAGCTTCCCAGCCTGTGAATGAGATATAATAGTTATAGTCAAGATGGCGTGTCTAACACCGCTGGAGTCTAAAAGGAGTCAGTGTGGGTTAAGGTAAGCGCAGAACAGTACGTGCTACAGAGTTTGAGAGATCAGTAGATATTGCATATTAGTAACAATGCAATCATTCAGCTCTCTTCATGACCTGCTTTATTTTTCTTGATCGCATTTATCAGTACCTAACTTGGTATTATGTAGCACGAGCTTATTTCCTGTCTTCTCCACAAGAATTTAAATAGGGCAGGGGGAGGTGGTGGGAGTGCTCTGTCTGCCTCAATAACTACTACATTTGGCTGGGAACCTACAGTTCCTATGTAACAAGCTCTCAATAAACATTTGTTGAATGCATGATTGAAGACACAGCTCATTTCCTGACATGCTTGTTTCTACAGTTAGAAAATCTGTATGGATATATAGTTTATATAAAATACCATCTTCTTACTAAATGTTATAAAAGGAATAGATTCCTCATAAAATTACTTGGCCTCAGGATATGATACGTATAAAGCATTAAAAACCCAATTTCAGGGATACTGAGCCAATAACAGTATTCTAAACTATATGTCTCAGCATAACTAGTACTTCGGATTATTTTTAAGCTTGGAAAACAGTAAACTGTAACAAAACTGGAATACACTGAACTTGTAAGGCAGGCCGACGCTATCATCCTAAATGTTTTCCAAGTCACCCACTGTGTGCACTGATCTACCAGTGCCAGCACCCCTCACAGAAGGCTAACATGGACATCAGACCCTTTCTACATCCTGTGGAGCTGTCTGACTTTATGAAAAGAAAGGCTGATGTGAGCTAGAAAAAGAAGGGAGACTGAAAAGACATCAGCAGATGGAGACAAACTCTTACAGAATAAAGGCAGTGGAAAATGAGGTAAAGGGGTCTGCATTCACCAAAATCCATGGCCTAGGGGAGGTGGGACTGCAGTGTGTGGAAGAAGGGAGGGCTGAATGGCGTAGTTCCTGCTGTGTGTGCTCTGACGTCCGGATTTCTTTACCTTGTCTCGTGTGTCCTGATGGAGATGCTATCAATGCTGTATAAAACTGGATGATTTCTTCACTATCTGACATGACGTACCCTGCTCATAATTGTAGATCCTACTACTCCTGCTGCTCTACACCCGAAGAAACACACTGCTGACTCCCTTTCAGTTTTACCCAATGTGATCTTTTCACTCATCACTGCCGTTTTATTTACAAAATTAGTTTTCTAGTAAGATTTCTTCTACTCATAGCTGACTACTTTTCAGTACTTAAGGCAATGTTCAGCATATTTTAAAAAATAAAATAAGGGCTGGTGGAGTGGCTCAAGTGGTAGAGTGCCTATCTAGCAAGTGGGAGACCAAGTTCAAACCCCAGTACCACAAAAAAACAAAACAAAACAAAACACACCAAACTAAAACAACTGAGATGAAATAAACAACACCCACAGGACTGCTGCCCTTATGAATGCCAAAGCTCCTTTTCTGTCTCTGGCACAACCCTCTCCAAGGGAGAAGGGAGAATAAGAAATAGAACCTTTTAAAACTATGATTTATTCTTTTTACTTGAAGTTGTGAAAGAGGTAAAAATAGTGCTCTTTTAAGGAAATCTCAAGCCAATCCCAGGGGCTGGGCTCCCCTTTCCAATTGGTATCACGTGATTAGTTCTGGGGATGGAACCCAGAGCATTACAACTGCTAAGCGTACTCTCTATCACTTAGTTACTCCCCAGCCAAGGTTTCAGTTTACGTTAAAGAGAGTTGCCAAGGTCACTAGGCCTCCTACAACCCAATGAAGAACAGGATGGCCAACACTGGTTTGGATAGACTGGGAAGAAAGCCATAAAGACTGCAAGTAGAAGGTGATACAGAAACTCAGAGGAACTAGCCACCCCACTGGAGTTATGGCCCAGAATCACTTGCATGGTGTATCCCCAGATAAACACACACAGCATCATGCTCACAATTCCAAAGAGGCAAAGTACACATTCATCGTTAGAAGACCCTGAGATTCTGTGACTCCAGGAAAGAATTCCTGACCTCCAAAATGACCCTGACCTCCACACCCTTGTGGCCATGGAACTCTAAACACTGTGATGAAAACCTCCCAGTGCTTCAATGACTAGTGTCTCAGCCTTTTCTCCCCATCCAGAGGATAAAAGATACTAAGTGTACTAGAAAAAGCTGGAAGATTCAGAAAAACTGAAAAGAGAAAAAAATTCCACTCATTGTTTTAACAATCCTCAAACAAATAAAGTGGACAGTTCGGTGGCAAAATTTCTTAGGTTCAGCTTTCAGAATATATGTGTGATTAAAAACAGCTGGAATCATATTAAAAATACAATGCTATACCCTGATTTTTAGAAAATCTATTCAATCTTTCACTGAAAAATACACAATGTCACAAGGAATTCCTAGAGAAAGACAATGATGGTTTACTTCTCAATTGCTTCTGGAATTGAGGTCAACTCCAGAAGCAATGCACAGAAACCATACTACACTATAAGGCAGGCCTTTCAGCACAGTCATTTATTTTGATTCACATGGAACTCTAAATGGGGTTGAAATAAAGGTAGACCTTACTAGTACTTTCTACCATTCCACCACCTCATTTTCAGAATTCTGAGAAGCCACTAAATTTTAATTCTGGCTACTACAGTTGAAATAAACCTAAGTTATAGCCAAGTTCTCAGATGGCTTTTGATTGTACTGTCTCCCGATGAACTTTCTTCATTGTTCATGGACTGGTATGTTTCTAAAGTAATTTTACTATCTGAGAATTGGGGAAGAGAAATCTAAGCTCTGAAAACAAATAGAAAAAGAATGTACTAATAATTCCTGTTCTTTCAGGTGTGCCACCACTTTTCCTGTGAGTTCAAGAGCAGGGGGATTGTCTTATCTTTCTCTACCATCATTGATGGGTAACTGTGTTCCCCACCTCTTCTCTCCTAGTATTTCACCACAGAAAAACTCAAAAACTCAAATGAAATCAGAGGCCAATTGCTTTTCAAGTAGGAAGTGGTGAAGTAATTGACCTAATTTAGGAAATTAAAATCCCCAGAGTTGCTGGAAAGCAGGGTGGATGTGTGAAGACTCAGTACAGACATGCCTTCAGAAACAAGAATTACTGGCAGGAAGTTGTCGGGCCTCCAAATTGGCTTGCTCACAGTCAGAACCCATCTATGTTAAAGATTTCAGAGCTAGCCCTGAAAGGGTGACAATGACAAACACTGAATCAAAACAACAATAACAATGGTGAGGAACTGATCACTGAGATTTGCGGTTACTTTTCTGAGGTGAAGAGATCAAGCACTCATCACGTATTTATTAAATGCTTGCTTTTGAAAAGTAAAAGACTGAGCTGGGTCCTATGAGGGATTAGAAGTCTAAGATACACTTTCTGTCATTAAATAACTTAGAATTAATTTGCAGAGCTAGGGTGAACTTGCAAAGTAATTCGTATTAAAACATAAAAATCAAACCACCTTAATAGTCAAAATTATTTTCCTACAAGGGCAAGGAAATTCAAACAAGTGGTCCACAGGAATCCACTACACAAATAATAGCAAGTCTTCTAGAAATGAAGGTACTGGTATAAAAACTTAGCAAAGACTCTGGGGTTCTCATACCTGAATTCACTCTGTAGCATTAAAATGACACATCTGCCAATACATAATTACTATAATCTAATTGTACAATTTAACTTTATAAATACTTTCCTATAAAACCTTAAAGCATTTTATATCATTTATCTTTCAGGTGGCAGTGAAAAACTTACTGTTTCCATTTCTTATTGTATTTCCTAGATTCTCCCTAAGAACAGAGCAGTAAAAAAATGTTGCAAGAAACTTAGTCACTAAGAGAACTTGAACTCATACACACATCTAACTTTGTGCTCCTCCAAGGACAAATAAGATACGTACCTGGCTGTGTGTGTCAGATTATAATAAAAAAGTCAAAAAGAAAACAGAAGACATTTTATTTTTGGTTTTCATCGTCATCATCAACGTGTACAACTGAAGTGCATCTATGTCATCAATGTTCTCCAGAATGGTGAACAAAGTTAGTTAAACCAATAAGCTCACTACAGTTACCAGAAATGCTGCAGGCACATGTACAGGGACACTGGTGTTAACAGAGGGTAATCATACTCTATAAATTACCTCTTTCAGAGCATTCCACAGTTCCTCATCTGTGTGTTCATTGAAGGGATCCAGGTTCTTCCTCATTGTTCCAGTGAACAAAACAGGTTCCTGGGTGCCCAAAAAAATGAATGTCATTGCAACAGGCTTTTTTCATTTTATCCTGATGCTAACTTTTAGAGTAGAATTAAAATACAAACAAATCAGATTTTGATATAACTACTCATTCTAAGGTTGCAAATGCTTATTTACAAAATGATATCTTCATTAATTTTCCATTGTACAAACTGTGACCTCCACACCCTGCATGCTAACAGAAGAAACTATCAGATACATTAAATTAAGAAGAAAATGAAGAAAAAGCAAGTTCGGGGCTTTAAACATGCCTTCTTGGTAATATGTGCTGAAATAGAAAATACAAAAATACGTTTATTTGAGAAACTGTACATCAACAGAATGACAGCAGTAATTATTGATTTCAATGTGTAGAAAATACCAACAGCATAATTAGTTGAAGTTTATGCATCAAAGGCAAATTGTTAAGTATTTTCTCTACTGGTAAAACGATCTTCTGGACGGGGTGGGGGTCTCTCCAAATGCCTGAATGGGATGCTGTGTTCTTTGTCCAAAAGGGATGTCAACTATTGGGGCCAGTGGCACCCCCACTCACACAGAGATGGCCTCTGATGCTACATCAGCTAATCCCTGCATTATCTTGTCTGTGCATCAGAGTTGTCTGTTTCACTGAACCTCATTATTAACTATAAGAGCAAGGTGACCTGAAACCCATTGTGAAGCAAGTATTATTATTAAAATAATAAAATCATTTTAAATAGCTCTTCCTATTCATCTGCTGCAGGAGGAGCTCACAATTAAATCACTCTTAAAATACACCCTCCTTCCAGGTTTCAAGAGAGCATCTAATATGTGAGCTTAGGTAGGCTGTGCACAGCTTTTCTTCTGGAAGGCTCTTTCAACCCAGGCCACAAAGACATGGAGAGCACCCAACTGGCTGCCTTCAGTGAGGGTGGAGAACCGTGAGGTGTACAGGTGTGGGAACCAGAGAAGCATTGTTCTTCCCCTGGCCCTGGAAAACTGCTCCAGGGACAGCACCCTTGCATCTTGCCTGATCTTGGGGCTGAGCCGCTAATGCCTGAGGAGAAAGACAAGGGGAGAGACTTTTCTCTAGCCCTGAAGAAAACTGATACTGTCATTCACTATCTCAGCTTTAGGACTGGTAAGGGAGAAATGGATGTAGAGGGCCAATGGTATGCCACCAAAAATACCTATCTCTTGCCAAAATTCCAAAATTAAAGACATTAAAATGCCATTTTATTTGCACAAAGTTAATTAAGTGACTAATATGCCTCAAAAGCATTGAAAAAAAATCACTGGTCATATGTTTCAAAATGACTACTGAATTGAACTGAAAAGTCTCAAGAACCTCAGGTTCCACACAAAGACTAAACAACCATCTATGCACTGGTAGAAATTTCTTGTTAGGGGAATAATCATTCTACTCTTTTCAGATTTAAAAACAAAACAAAACTTACTATCAGGACCAACTCCAAGATTCTAATAAGCTAGAATTATATAAGGTTAACAGAAGGTTATATAAGGTCTACAGAAGAGATGAGGCCAGGAATGGGGTAGCTGCTACCCATGGTTCCTCCCCTGTGGATGTCCCTGTCACCTTCCCACCAACACTCTACACTGTGGGATCTGAGATGGGTGTTTGAGAAGATACAAGACACCAGAAGAGGACAGGATAAACAATCAGCTTTGAGCACACGTGGAGAAACGTGAGGTGGTCTCTTTGCTTGTAACAACAGATCCATTTCCTCATCTAGGACGACCTATCATTACCTACCTAAACTTGTTCTTCCATCAGGAAAGCAAAATCACATCTGGTAAGAGATCTAGGGTTTGACAGGGTGTCCTGCTGGGTTTTACAAAGTACCATCTTGAGACATGGTCCCTAAGCTAATCTATGAAAAAATTGCTTTGCACAGACTATTCTTCCTTGTTAAAGATGCAAAGGTTCAAATCCAATCCCCAATTTTGTGATCAGTGCTTCGTATCTGTCAACCCCCATCACCTTCTTCTCGTCAGGAAACTCCATTTTTGTGGTGGCGGGTGGTACTGGGGTTTCAACTCAGGGTCTTATGGTTTCTACACAGGTGCTCTACCATTTGAACCATGCCCCCAGCCCTTTTTGTTTTAATTATTTTTCAGATAGAGTCTCATGCTTTTTACTCATGCCTTGCTGGACCACAATCCTCCGACGTATGTGTAGATGGCTTTACAGGTACAGGCCACCATGCTCAACTTGTTTATTGAGATGGAGTCTTGCTAAACTTTCACTCAGACTGGCGTCAAACTATGATCTTCCCGATTTCTGCCTCCAGAATAGCTGGGATTACAAAGTAGCCAACACGCCTGCCCAAAAACTCTCTGACATGGATGTGTGTGTCTCTCACAGAACTGGGGATTTTTGTGAGACCTGTGAGTTGCTCACTCTGAGCTCCTGATCATCCACAGCTGCTTTTTGCTAAGCTCTGAACACTGACCTCAGACAGCAGGCCTTAAGAAGGACTTGCTAATTATCGTCAAGTCACTACTGCCTGGCATAAAAAGACAAGCTTGAGCATTTCCCACCAAAATAAGAGTCCACACTTAAATCTATCCTGCCAACTTAAAAGGAAACATTGGGTCATCAATCACTCTTGTTTACTTAGCAGTACTAGAAGAAAACAGGTTAGTAAATAAGAGCATTCTTATCTAGTGCACAGGTAAAATTTCAATCAAAACTTATTGAGTGAGAATGATCTAATAAAACGTTAACTGATTGAGTCTATATTTTCCTTAAAAACGCCAGGCAATTTGTTCACAATGGTGTTTTACTATGCCAATGTGTTTTATGTATGGTGTTCATTTTGGTTTCTACTCATTCTACTTTCATCCACCTGCCAAATAAGAGTCCATTATATTATCTTCAAAAGGTAATAAAAGTACTCATAGTGGAGACATACTGCGAGAGGAGATAAGGGTCAAATTAATTATTATTTCTGATAGATATTATTATTTAAAATGCCCACACCTTCATGCAATGAACTTAATAAACCAACCTTGTAAATCAGTGTTGTAAAAATGTTTGCAAGCAGAACATTCCAGTGTGGGAATTTATGGGAGGACATACAACCTTGTAAATATACACAAAATTTATTAGGCTAAGTATATTTTTTCTGATGGCCCATGTTTTAATAAGAGCTTTATTTTAATTTCTACAGTTAGCTGGCATGGTACAGTTAGGAGAACAACTGCTCCTGTTCTATGTCATCATTTAAATGGAGGACTTGGAGCAAGCCTGCTTTTCATCATGGTAAATTCACACATTTCATATCCTTTGGGCCGTATGCAGTAGTTTAGTTTTTCAAACTCTCACTAGCATGGCACATGTTCTTATTAGGCCTGTGACCCACAAGCTGCCACTCTGAATCAAAGCATGTGAGGTAGTAAAATGATAATCCCTTGATACAACTGCAAGCTGAAAACTACAGCCTTACAAGACATTTTATATAGACTGACTAGAAGACAGGCCTCCATTATCTCTAGAAGAAACTCTACCTACTAACCTTCAGGCTTACTTGACCTGGGACCAAGACAGAAATGCTTACAAAGTAGCAACTCTAATCTACAAACCCTAATCTTTTTTGGGTACCAAACTAGGAAACATCCCTCTACTAAAATATGTGTTCAACAGTCGCTACTACTGCTGTTTTCCAGTCCCCCAAGTTCTCCCTCCCCCCCTTTTTAAGGGGCACACATCTCCCGCTTTCAATAATGAGGGAGTCACCTGGAGTAACTTTAAATCTTGGTTTCTTTTTTAAATCCTGTAGCCTCTGAATGAACCGATCATCATGCATTTTTAGAAGAAAAGAACATTGTTCGCCAACAAAGGAAAAAGAATTTAAGTCGTGTAAAGTCTTCTTTAACTACAAAAAGGTCACTAGCTCTGGGGAGCAGTGCCACAGGCTATAATGAAGACTTCAGTGTGCAGAAACAAAGGAGGACTGCATTAGGCTGGGATCCAATTGTATTTCTTCACGAGTAACAGCATACCTACCCTCCTTTTCTCTTTGAGTTTTGTTCTCAGAAAGAAAGGGAGGAAAAAAAAAAAAAAGGGAAAGCAAACCAGGTAATCAAAAAGGAGTACTAAAGAGACACAGCTCTGGTTAACCTTTTCAACCTACTGAAGAAAACTCAGGGAACAGAAAACCAAAATAACAGAGTAGACTGTTTCAAAAATACCTGGCTTTAGTTCTGATTCAAATTTTAAAAAATCTAATAAGTATACAAAACAAATCTGTTTCATCATGATGAAGATAATCACTCACTGCTGCTGTGTATCAACCTTCAGGTGGCTTCACAAATGGTAAATCTGCATGGGGCTGCTCTGATAGAAGAACATACAGTTGGCTCTAGTGTAAAGAATCTATCCCCGAAAGTTTTCCCAGGCTTTCCAACGACAGACAAATCCCCCAGGGCTGCCTTACCCCGGGACCCTCTTGTCCACCTTTCAGCCACCTGTTCTTTTGAGGAAGGGATTTATACAGCACCTTCATGGTTTGCTTATTCCTGAAATTCTGAGTATGTATCACGGATTGCCTCTTTAGGACACAGTGCTCTTTGAAGAGACTCCAGGACTGGGTCCTGACTGTATTAGTCACCCACCCCATGCTCCTCCCCTGGTCCTAAACCCCAAATTCAAGATTGCCCATGGCAGTTTCAAGAGGGAACAGCTCAGAAGAGGGGACAGGATGATATCCAGGCCAGAAGGGGCAGACTGACCAGTCACTCACACACGCAGCACTTAGTTTCCCTTTTGCTATACCTGCTTCAGACTTAACCTTCAAGTCACCTCGGTGACAGGCTTTCTCTGCCACTTAGACCTAGTCTCTGAAAGGGTTCTGCACACTGGCAAGCTCAGGCTTTGAGTATCTGATACTCATTGGCCCGGGACACAGAAGTGAACCCCTGCCTGTAAAATGATTTTCTTTTAGCAATGTCACATGAATTTTTTTTGGTAAAAGAACCCCAGCAAATAATTTGGTCCTTCAAAACCGCCTATCTGTGCCAATGTAGGACAAAGCCCCAGGAGAAAGTATCTTTTGATTTTGCCCTCTTCTCTGGTTATGAGTTTTTCTTTTTAAGTGCGGCAGATAGAAAAACAATGGGTAAAATATCTGATGAACCGTCATTCAGTGAAACATTCACTGGAAAGAACTTCTAAAGTCTGACAGTGCTCAGTTCTCCCACCCAAGTACTAACTAGGCCCAACCCTGCTTAGCTTCCGAGACTGGACGAGATCAGGAGCATTCAGGGCACCATGGCCGTAATGACAGTCCTGAGTTCTGATGCTACTTCTCATCAGCTGTTAGCCTCAGTTAAGTTCCGAATCCTGGAGCCTCAATTTCCTTTCCGGAACACAGGGATCACCCTTCCTGCCTTGAGGGTGTAACATAACCGGGGCTCCTCGGCCCTGCGGCACAGGACAGCGGGGGACAGTGTTTACAAACTGCAGGTATGGCCAATGGATCGTGAAATCAATTTTGTATTGTCTTTTCTATGAAGTAGAATAGAATGGATGTAATAGGAAATAGTGGGCACAGAGCATGGAGTAATGATGCTTTGAGAGTTTTGTTTCTGTGCACGTGACTGGGCACACAGCCCAGGATCAGGATACCATTGCTCTTGGCCATGATAGGTGACACAGCTTTAAAGCAGCAGACTCAGGATCTGGTGTAGAGAATTCCCCTGAATTCTCTGAATCCTGGCTCTCTTGCTAAGTGAGTTCAGCTCTTAGTGCCTGTGTTTTTAACGCTAGCGAATGAGGGCGACAATAGAACTGTTGGGAGGGTTAAGTGAGACGCGGTAGGGAAAGGAGGTTCAATGTGGAGGAGCCCACAAATGTGAGAGATTATGACTCCTGGCGGAACACAGCACGGGAAAAGAGACAGCCCATATCCTCTGGAAGAGAGAAAATGGCAAGGAATGTGGGCAGGGCTAGGAACAAAATGGCAGGGAGCTTGGGGGCAGGGGAAGCTGCAAAGTATTAATAGGTACAGAGCAGTGATCAGGAAGAACTGGCAAGAACCAGCTGGGAGGAAGCCAGGAAGCAAACCAAGGCAACAGTCCCACTTTTTTTTCCTCAAGGGAAAAACTTTAGCTTTTTCTGTCGGGTTTTACCCTAGAACAAGTGGGGGGCGAGGGGCGGGGCAGCGAGGAAGGGAGAAAGTGGGGAGAGAAGAGATGTTGCTGCTTAACTATTTAAATTTATACAAATAATTTGGTTTGAAGAAAATCACCAAGGATCACAAAAAAACAAACAGAAATTAATGTGCCAAGTCCTTCCAGAATTTGCTACCATTTTTACTTACGTAGCCATCACACCTAAAGGTCAGTGTCCTAGTCCTTAATATAAAGTTACTGATTATTGAACATTCCAAAGAGCCAGGCACTGGGCCACCTATATGCTCTCACATGGTCAATCCTTCATGAGGTATCTGTGAGATAGTAACTACTGGATCTGGTTTAAGGACAGGGATGAGGCTGGAGGGTCAGATGATGTCACCAGTGTCTCATCTCCCAGGAGGCAGAGAGGGACAAGAATGTGGGTTGAGGCGACACTCAGCACACATGCTCTGTGAAGTCTGTACCGGGCTTCCTTGGTCCCTCTGCGTGTTGCCCAGTCTCTTCAAACCATGCCTCGGAGACAAAGGCATATAAAAGTAAAAACTAAGGGTCCTGTGTTTACAATGCTTGGTAATCGTGATCTGCATGGATACAAAGCTTAGCACTGTTTTGTAAGTATGCTCTCTGGAGTAGATACATACAGCATTTGCACAAAAGGAGGGTGGGGACTTATGGCACAGGACCAAAACTTGGTGATGTCAAGGTGTATTTAGTCTTTGCTCAGATGTGCTTCCAAAACATTCTCGGCAGAGCCAAGAATTCTCTAACGCTATTTCTTTATTTAGAATTCTTTTATGTATACAAGCATACAGCTATTTCTTATTAAGAAGCATTAAGAGTAGTGCAGGGCACGTTTCTAGATCCTTTCATCCAAGGATATAAAAGTACTTTACAGACATGCCCGTAACTCTGCTAAATAAATCTCCTCTGTCCCATTTCTGAGATGGGTACAACCAAAAGACAGAGGCTGGGAATTTAGGCTCTCATTTTCTACCATAACCATTGTGTCATGCATGTAATAGCCAAACGGATCTTATGTGCTGAAGAGTTCTCCCATATTTTTTCCTGAAAGGGTTATCTTTGATTTGATTTTTTAAAAAATTATGGAGAAATACACATAACATAATATCTAATGGAATATTTACCACTTTAGCCATTTTAAAGTATTCGGTTCAGTGGTCTTAAGTACATTTACGTTGTTTCCTCACCACCATCCACTCACTGGACTTTTAAAAAAAAAATCCTGTAAGACCTAAACCTTGTACCCATTAAAGGAAATAGCTCCCCATGAGGGAAGTGGTTGCCTTCCCTCAACCACTGGTGAACACAATTCTACTTTCTGTCTCCATGAATTTGACTGCTCTAAGTACCTTGTATTAGTGGAACCACTCAGTAGTTGATACATTGTTACTGGTTTATTTCACTTTGCATAATGTCTTCAAAAGCTATCCATGTTGTAGCATGTATTAGAATTCCCTTCCTTTTTAATGCTGAATAATTTTCCATTGTATGTATAAAACCACACTTTGTTTTTAGCTATTCATCTGTTGATGGACACTTGGGTGGCTTCCACCTCTTGGCTGCTGTGAATAATGCTGTGATGAATGTGAATGTACTAATCCATCCTCGAGACCCTGCTTGAGTCTTTTGAGTATATTCAGGAATGGAATTGCTGGGATCATATGGTAATTCCATTTTTAATCTTGTGAGAAGCCTCCTTACTATTTCTCACAGTTGGCTGTACTACTTTCCATTCCCACCAACAAAGCACAAGAGTTCCAACTCCTCTACTTCCTTGTCAATACATTTATTTTTCTTTTTATCTTTTGTGCAATATGGGGGCTTGAACTCAGGGCCACAACGTTTGCTAGGCAAGCACTCTACCACTTGAGCCACGGTCCCAGTCCTGAGTAGTGGGATTACAGGTGTACACCACCAGCCTGGCCTATTTTTCATTTTTTGGACAGTTGTCATAGTGAGAGGATGTCTCATTATAATTCTGAAATGGCATCTCAATTTCAAAAGTACTTGAAGTAACCAATTACTTTAGAGGTCAATGGTAGGAAGCTGTACTTGGTGATAAGGTCAAAGTCTACGTCTCCTTCCTTTGGGGTAACACGTTCTCTATGCTTCCTAATAAACAAGAATTTAGAGGCCCTTATATCTACATGCCCAGAAGTACGCCTGGCATTTTTTCTGCCTTTCTTCAATGTTTCTTACCTCAGGAATGAGTATGCACCTGGGACTTCTCAGCTCCCCTGGATAGCCAGATGATGGTGGAGTGTAAAACACTCCAAATTAGAAACCCCTGAAAGCAAGTGTGGAGTTGAATACATGCAAGCATCAAAGCAGAGGGCAGGATGAGGCCCCACAACTGCAGGTCCCAGGCTTGTGGGAACAGGCCCTGTGCTGCCATGGCTATCTACGTGGAGGATAATAATTACTCAATAAATACTTTCTGAATTTATGTTGAATAGATGAACTAAAAGCAATGATAGGAACTTCCATTTTGCATTTAACTCAGTCTCCCTGAAAGTTTTCCATTAAGAAGCATAAGAAAGAAAACAAAGTCTGAACCCAAAAAGAGATGGCAATTTGCCCCTCTACCATTATGGCAACTAGGCACTGGGTCTACATGAAGCGCTCTACCCACATGACATAGTTAGTCCTCACACTAGCTCTCAGAGGTGGTACCATTGGTACTGGTAAGGAAGAGAAAATCAAAGTGCAGGGAGATGAAATTCCTATTCCCTGTGTCTCTGTACTGCCTCCATGGTTAATATCACTAACTAACACCTAGCTTCTGCAAGTATCCACAAAGCTTGGCAATTCTCACAAGCTCACATTTTCACAGAAGGCCCTCCATGGAGATAATCACACCTGAAAAGATAAGCGTTAGTTCCTACAGCAAAATTCCCTCATTAAGACACTTAAAATCCATGTTTCCCTATAGAAACCTCAAGTACTAAATTATTTATCATTCTGTTCTCAGAATTATGTGGTTATCAGTGGATAAAACTTGGCACTAGAGAAGTTGAAAAATCAATCTCTCACTCACACACATACACACCACACAAATGAACAAACATACAAACTCTTGGTAGCTGATGAAAATACCTATTAAAAATACGCCCCATTGGCAGAAAGGATCAATCCTTTCATCCAATTAAAAAAACAATAAAATTAAAAGCAATTAAACTTTGGTGCCCTTATAAAAGGAACATGTGCGAACGCTCTGACTTGCATACCTGCGGTATGATTGACATTTTCTTCCTTAAATCATGAAGTCCAATTTCACTTGTCAAGATCTTATCAATCCAAATTTTACCTTCAGGTTCTGACAATCTGAAAAGGGCCGAGATGAGGGAACTTTTTCCAGCTCCTGTTCTTCCCACAATTCCAACCTATAGAGAGATCCAGAGGGAGGGTTTACCAATTAATATGCAACAAACCTAGGAGAACATTTTGGTTTCTGAAGACGAATTGTGGAAGCTTCACACTGAGTGTTGTCTAAAACGCCCTCCACCTCAGTACTGTTGACATTTGGGATGGTCCTGTGCACTGTGGTGTATTTACTAGAATCCTGGGACTATACTTTCCAGATGCTAGTTGTAGTCCCCAAATCTTGACAGCCTGAAATGTCAGACATTGGCAAATGTCCTCTGAGGGGCAAAACTGCCCCTGGGTGAGATCCATGGACAGCAGAAGAGTTCAAATGAGCAGCAGGGAAGAGCCAGCAGCCTCCTTAGTGAGCACTGCAAAGAACTTTACTGTGAGTTTTACTTCCAAGGTCTCCAAATTCTGAAACTTGAGGATTTCTTTGATACTTTCAGAGATGCTAGTAACTCACATCAGAAAAGTTACACATAAGCAAGCATTAATTTTTCCAGAGTTCTATCACTTAAGACAAATTTTTCTTTGGTAGAAAAACTAAATCACTTCTGGATATTAAATGTGTGGTTCTATTCTGTCTCAAAAAGAAACACCTTAAAATTTTAAAACGTGAGTCTCCAAGTCTTAAAAGACAGTAACCACTAACCAAAATACACATAACAAGACCACCACACCACTACAAATAACATTTGCTACATACACGGGCCTTTCATCTAAGCAGTTCAAAAGGCATTTTACAAACTAATTAATACTTGCAATTGCCCCTTGAGAAAGATTTGTGTCAACTATTATTCCTCTTATTAAAGCCAGAGCAGAGAGAAATGAAAAGCACTGACAATAAGATCAAAGAATCAATATAATTCAGGTAAAATGCTGATCAGGAATGAAACTGCACTGTAAAAGCTGGCTGTTAGAAGTGTGCATTTAACCCTGTAGGAGGAAAACTGGCATTTCTACCAATGAGCTCGCCCAACTACAAATTCCCTGGGGAGAGCTCCTAAGAGATGACATCATTCTTATTAAAAACTCTGGAGTCAATGAAGGGCATGAAATAGGCCTTCTATCATTTGTAAATTAACTCATAAAATTAAAAAACTCACTGCTTTCAGCAGAGAGGAACTGAAGTTTCTTTCTTTTTTGTTTTTTTGGTGGTACTGGGATTTGAACTCAGGGCTTTACCCTTGCCAGGCAGTGCTCTATCGCTTGAGCCATTCCACAAGCCTGGAACTGAATTTTCCTGCACACTAGTTATGTGCTAAGAATTTGAGACGTTATCTCATTTGAATACTTTTAAATTAAAATCTATAAAAATCAATAATGTCATTTTAAGAATTTAACTTTATGGCGATTTAGGTATGACAGTGACTTTATCTAATTTTTAAAAATCTTTATAGCTGTTTTCTATTTTTTGGGAAATGCTAATTTATGTTTTACAGATGGGTTGTTTTCTATGCACAGGTATGTCCCAGTGCATCTTATCTGTGTTTCTATCATCTATGTGTCTCTCATGTAAATTACCACACATCAAGACACAGGCAGATCTGTTTGTGAGAACATGTGGCTCCGTGGGAAACTCATTCATCTGGGCAAACCCAAACCTTTTTAGACTTTGGAGAAATGACCAGAAGGGACCCACAAAGGCAGGGCACACCAAGGGCTGTCTTTAACCACAGAACTGTGAACTCCAAATTAAAATAAAAACGTAGCTGTGGCCATTTCTTTCTACCCTTCAAAGTCATGAAAATTATAATCTGGAAGATTTTCAAAGTCACTGATGGGTTTTACCTATACTTGGGGAGACTATCACTAAGTTCACAGTACTGCCACCAAAAGGACACATTGAGATAATCTTGCTTTAGTTGCTTTGCAATTTATGTTTTCCCAACATGGCCAAGGTTGATTTCTGACAAGTGCATCACATGTTACACATCTGTACTTGGATCTCTCTTTATACAAAAGTACCCAATGCCCCCACTCAAAACAGCTGCTGCCTCTGGCTTCCCCAGAGGCTGTTGGGCTCTACACATCCACCTTACATCCAGTCTCCTTCAATGGCAGCCTGGCACCAAGCCCTCAGAATTTCTGTTTCCTGACTTTCCTATTTCCCCCCTCATTTTAGTTCCTGTAGCCATACCTTGAGCGCAAGGCTACATTACCTTTTTTTAAAACAAAATAAATTTCCTAATTACAATCAGTGCAAGTAAACTTGGAAAATAAACAAACACTATCCATAACCCCTGCACTCTGACAGAGCCACACTTCACATGTGGATAAATCTTTGGATTTGTGTATGTGTTCCTAACATCACAAACTCATATATTTAAACAAAATGAGACTGATATGAACATATTGCACTGTCTTGTCATTTACTATTTCTAAAAATACTTGTTTTAAGGGTCACCTAATATTACAGTATATATGATCATTGATTTAGCAAATCCCCTATAGATGGATGTTTTGGCTGTCTCCAATATTTTACTATTATAAATAACATGTTAAATATCCTTGAAGCTACATCTTTGTAAACTACCTTAATTATTTTCCTGTGATAAGTCCTTAGCTGTGGAGCTGCTGAGAAACAGGTAGGAACATTTCAAAGGAGGCGCTGAGCACTGCCAAACCACCCTCCAGCAACGGGATACCAATCTTCATGGCCACCTAGCTCCCTGCACATTACACAAGCTGGGTGTTATGATTTTGTTTTCACTGACATTAGTTTGATTCCCAACAGTGGAATTACTATGTCTTGCTAGGAGTACAGCTAGATGCTGACTTCCTGCCTCCAGTGTCTCCCTGCTAGGATCCAATGCAGCCCTATGCCTAGCACTCCACACAGGAAATGTCCTCTGCACTATGTTCCCAATTATCCTTAGCTCCTGGATAATTCGGGGTTCCCAGGTAGCCATGAGTCCTGAACATGAAAATGTGTGCTATACATCTGGTCTACCTTCCTTCTGTCCCTCCCTGCCCCCTACCACGTGTTCTGCCAGTGCCCAGTTCTTCATCTATAGAGAATCATGGTCTTGTGCTAGGCTCATGGTGGCCCCTCCACCTGAATACCTTTCACATGCATCACTATCTGTTCAAATCCTAGCCCTAGCTCACGGTGCTAGTTTCAAATGCCTAATCCCACGAAAACTCTTCATGAAAACATCTCCTCGTGTGGGCATCTTCCACTTCTAGCAGATATCCTAGCACTTTTTCCTGAACACTGTCTTCTGACTTACAGAGTACCCACGGAACTCTATGTGCCAAAGGCAAGACTATACTGGCTTCCCCTATGGATATTTGTGGTTAGGTCATTTTACATCCTACAATAATGGTAGCTAATCTCTGATCAAGCATTCGTTCTGTGTTGGTCTCTGTGCTGGGTGTTTTCCAGAGATTATATCCTATTTCATTTTTCAAGAGAAAATTGAGGTCTATTATGATGAGTGAATATGTCTGAAATAACTAAACCTACTTAAGTGTCAGAGTGGGATTAGAATCCAGGACTGTCTGCCTTTTGCTCACAGTATGGATTCCTACTTCTTCAATGGCTGGGCACCATATTCCCCCCCATCCAGCTAGAAGAGAGGCAGTGGGAAGTAGTGTGGCCTCCATATAGACGCTATGGTCAGGCCTGTAGAGCATGCCGTTAATACAGGTGGGTGTAACGTGCAGAATGGACAAGACCACTGTATACTCTGAGTAAGACTACAGTCGTCCACAGAAAGAACTGCGCCCATGGCAGAGGCTGGGAGAGAAACCTGCAGCTGAAGTGGGCATAGGTCACCTGAGAAACAGTACCCTGTTTGGGGCAATGAGTACCACTTTCTTACGCCATCAAGTAGCACTCAAAATCTGACAGTGCTTGGGCTAGTGCAGGGACAGACACTGTTATGTGTGGCTTCCTAGCTCACATATGAAATCAGTCTGTGACAGAAGACAGACTGTTGGAAAATGCAAATTAACTTGGAATCTTACAGAATTAATTTATAATGTACCCTCAAGATTTGCAGAATATAAAAGTAAACAAATCATTTGTAAGATGGTAATGGCCAGGACTGTCTAGAGTCTTGCGTTCAGTCCTAACAGGGGTTGGTAGCCCATGAGTTCAATTTCAGGGTATAGAAGGAAGTTTCTTGGGATTCATGGGTTATTGGTCATGAAAAATTGAGCGAGGACTTCACTGGGGTTCTTGTGCAAATGCCAAGACTCCACAGGGTTGGGGACCCTGAGCACCTGCATTTCTAACAGGTTTCCAAGCCCTGCCAAGCAGGTAGGCAGGGAAGTGGGGTCTTGCACATGACAGTGACAGGAGGGCTCTCTGAGAAAACATTATGTAAAAAAGGAGAAAAGGTAGGAAACTAATATTTTTGCACATTATATAGCAAGGTCTAGTACACATCTGTAAAAATGTATTATCGAAGTAATAGCTCTGAGCAAGAAAAAAATAACAAACCAAAATCAATCTATCTCTAGAGCTGGAAAATACTTTAAAATGGCCCAGTACACTCTCAAATGATCAAATCAACCACAAAATCACCTAAATGAAAAATGCAGCCAGTGTTTACAATCTAACCAGGAAGCCTAGGATGCTATTTACCTCATCTTTGTTCTTTATTTTTACTTGCTATTTCTTCCATGAATTAGAAACCTGCTTAGTACTGATCACATTTTCCTATTTACTGTAACTTTCAGGAATTCAGCAAAGGAAGCCATTCAAAGATAATAAAGCTCAGTTCCTGCTGTGTTGGCATATTCCCTTGTCCCCGCCTGAGACAGTGGCTCTTTCAATCAAATCCAACACCAAGGGGTCAGCCTGAGAAACCAGGGGTTGGACACAGGATAGGGAAAAATCATGCTATAGCCCCCTCCGGATGCAGCCCCTAAATACACAAGCCAAGCTAAGGCGACAGATACTGGCTGGACCAGAATACAAACCGAAAGTCGTTATTGGGGGGAGTACAGGGGTCTAATGAAAAGAAATATAAATTCGGTAAATTTGATCAAAGTATGTTATATACATATATGTATCACAATGAAACCCCTTTGTACAATTCATAGATGCTTTTTAAAAAAGTCAAGTTACTATAGATATAATAATTCAGTCTTCAAATTCAATTTACCCTCAAACATTTTTGTGTCTCAGTTAATCCTATGATTTGAGGGTTTTAAGATTGAAAAATACAAGTCTGGGGATATATGTTGTTTCTAACTTGTACTACAGAGTTCCTTAGATAATTTATATTTTGTGGCTTCGAGGAAAACTGAAGATGTGTGCAAATTAACAGAATTACATTTGTAATGTCAGATCTGATAAACATACTGTCTGTAAGTAGGCAAACATCCTACAGTGCTGTCAGGAGCAGAATTTGAGAGACTTGGCTTTCATCATAGCTGTAGCTTGTGTTTTGCTCATACAGTCATCCTTACCATCTCAGACCTACAAGGAAGCTGTGGAAATAATTAGGAACTTGGCTTCTGCCACGTGACTTGCTAAGGTTGCTTCCTGTGTACCCTTTGGGCACAAAGTTGTACATTTATTCTTTCATGTCACAGGGGTATCGCTCATTAAATCATGGCTATGATTAGGCCATTAAATAGGTCCCTGGTGGAAAGAGCTGAAAAGAGTGCCTCGTAATGTATTTAATACTCTAGGGGGCTGGTGGTAGAGAACTTGCCTATTAAGGTGTGCGGCCCTGGGTTCAATCCCCAGCATGGGAGGGAGGAAGAAGGGAAGGGAAAGGGCAAAAGAATTTCGCACTCCCACCTAGGGAATGGGTTATTCCCAGAGCCGTGGTGTGTGCTGCTGCAGGTTTCTTCCTATCTGCATATTACTCGATCACATGCTCACAGCCAGCTGTCCTTCACACCACCACATGCTTCCAGAATGTCATTTACTGGGGAATAAGGATGATTATGCAATATTTTCTAAATTTACAAAGCCCCAGGCTGTGAAATAGAGATCTGGAAATTAAAATCATGCCATAATGCTCTATTTTTTATTGTGGTAAAATACCTAAGGGTATTTTATGTACTTTAAAAAATTATGGTAGGGGCTGGCGGAGTGGCTCAAGTAAGTGCCTGCCTAGTAAGCATTGAGGCCCTGGGTTCAAACCCCAGTACAGCCCCCAAAAATAAAAAAAAAGTCCCCCAAAAAACCTGTGGTAAAAGAGCTTAATAAAATTAATCTCTGCAACCATCTTTGAATGGCATTAATTACATTCATATGGATATATGACCTTTACCACTGTCCATTTCCAGACACCTTGAGCGTGGGCTGCTCATACTAGGAGTCAAGGCTGGAAAGGCTGGTGCGATAGGATTTCCTACTTTCTCCTTTGTTCTGGTTTACTCCCTCCAAGAGCCTGCCCTAGTCCTGGCCACAGGCACCAGACCATAAGTGAAGGGGTCCTCAATGGGGGATGCCTCCCAAGCCCTCCTGCCTTTCCTTTTAGCAGCTCTAAGCGAGTCTCTGGGCCTCCTGCTGCTCCAGTTTAGGACACCCATTTTCAGAGATCTGGTGGGGTTGTAGCTTGTGGGCTTTTCCCTGGTAAGAGACCTGGCCGTGCAGCAATGTTGAATCAGGCCTGGGGCCTCACTCGGGTTGCAGCAGTAGGATTACTTAGGTCAGGAATCATCAGAAAGCCACATGACAAGCAGATCTGTGTTCCAGGAAAAAACAGTCCAGCCAGGTGCTGGTGGCTCACACCTATAATCCTAGCTTCTCAGGAGGCAGAGATCAGGAGGATCGTAGCTCGAAGCCTACTCTAGGCAAACAGTTCATGAGACCCTATCTCAAAAAAATCTATCACAAAAAAAAGGGCTGATGGAGTGGCTCAAGGTGTAGGCCCTGAGTTCAAACTCAAGTACTGTTAAAAAAAAAAATTCTACAAAGGGGAGGTCAGGAGAGCAAAAGCAAAGCATAGGTTAGAGAAAGGCAGTAAAGACTAAGATCAGCGACAAGGGACAAAGTGGGTAGGAGTGGAAACTGGGCCAATGGAGAGGGAGAAAGGCATCTGAGTAACATAAGGAGTAAAAGTGACAGGAATGAGACACAGGAGCCTTAGTGACAAGGAGCCAGGGTTGACCTTCCAGATGTAGTTGTGAATAATTAGATGTCAAATACAGTATCCCCAGTCAGGGAAAATCCCAGCCCAGGAGGCCAGGGCCCATCAACCACCTTGAGACAGCCCACAGCATGAACAAAGAAATGGTTTCCAAACTCCACGGTCTGCTTTCAAGGAAACTTTATCTGTCATCACTGATCTAATTTGCATCCACAGAGAAACAGTCTCCTCGGTGGGTCCACCAGGAAGGCAACAAGCAGATACAGTGCTAACTCTTCAGGTGAAACTAAAGAAGCAAGAAAGATGGCTTCAACGAACCTTTTCCCTTGACTTAATGAGTGCTGTCAGGTGCTTCAACACCAGAGGTCCATCTAAACTGTATGTGAAGTTCACATTATCAAAGACGATCACTCCTTCGTGGGGCCAGGCTGGGGGAGGGCGTTTCTGGTATTCCCAAGGTGCTTCTTTTTCCAGGTCAGTGTATTCAATCACCCTCTCCACGGAAATCATCTGAAAGAGACATGGCATCCACACAGGTCAGGAGCAGAGGCCTTGCCTAGAGGCGAAAGTTCTTCATTCACACACAGCTAGGTTAGGACTGCTCAGGTCCTCAGAGTGACAGACACCAATGAGGACTGTGATCGTTAACAATCTTATTCAGCATCACTGAACACCTGCACTTATAGCTCCTGCCTTTTCCCTTGTAAAACTGAGTAGAAAGAGGCTTTTGTGAAACAGAAGAATACCTATAGCCTCTAATCAATAATCTTTTGCTACAGAATAACCACTTGCTATGGATCAGTTAAGTTAGAGAGTCATCAGATCTCACTGTAATAATTCTGCTGGATGAGGGGGAATGGAAATATTTCATGTTCATTACTTATCTCTCTTTAGGAGGAGTATTTAGAAGAGGAAGTAATTTACATATTGATTAAGTCCTCCCAAACACCATAACCTGACACCTTGCACAAGCACACGACAGGAAGGGGCTTGCCCTGACAGCGCCTCCTGCCTTCTGCTCGCCACACTGGAAAAGAAACACTAAGGCTGGTGGGGGGCAGGTGGGGGGATGGGGGAGTGGGAAGACCTATTAATTAAACAAACGATCTCAAAATACTGAATTCTTCTTTTACCAAGAACAAGGAATTACCCATTAAGAAACAAAAATAAACAGGCCTCTAAGAAATTAGCTTATATCCTCTCTAGGATTTCAGAACTTCCCTCCTACAGAGACATTTATTATATTTGAAGACAGCTTGTGATGAATATAAAACAAACCTGCTGACATAGCAGACATGAGACTGAGAAAAAGATGTATATATTTTATTTTACGTTAACTTTAAACAGATGGAAGAGGGATCTTAAAAAACTCCGTTAGCTACGATGTAAAAATAACAATTTTAATATTTTACATAAGAATTGCCTTTATGCCATTTAATGGCAAGGAGACTTGAAAAGGCCAAGAACGTTCAGATAAACGTTACCATGTTCTCTACTTCGGCACTTTGTCTCACGGACCACTGGAACATCCCCATAAGCGTGAGGGCATAGGATAAAGCCAGGCCAACCTGTCCACCATCCAAAGCTACACGAAGAGGAAGGAGGGAATAACATCAGTCGTAATTCATAACCTGAGCCTGGCTCGTTTTGCGACTATATCAAAAGGACTCAGCGAACGGCAAATAATAGCAACAGTTGTATTTTTACTGTCTATTGACTGACAGCATGATACAATTTTTAAAAACCCAGTAGATTCAGAAGGATTAATAAATGAGTTTATTAATCCCAATAGGATCAACCAACCTACATTTGAAAAACAGCATTATGTATCTGAAGACTAATGTCATCATTCAGATAGTCATCATTAGGGTTTCAGAGTGTTACGTAGTTCCACTTTCTATGTTCAGTGCAACCACAGTTGAAACCACTGAAAGCAAGATGACGGACGGGTACTGTGAGGCAATGCTTTTGAGAGCAAAATACTACTCTCATTGTTCTATCATTAAATATTGGAATAAAAACTGTGTTACTATGGAAGAGTTAGGCATGGCAAATTCATGCCAATACCTGCTCCTCTGGTACCACCTAGCAGTGATGGCAAGTCTCTTCTCCGCTGAGAGTCTTTCTCAACCTAGTACACAGACACCTCCACCAACCACCCAAGTAGTCCCAAAGCTAAAACCCAGAGCCTTAAGCTGGACAAAATGCTCCACAGTAAAGTTGGTTCTTTCCTCCCAACAAACAAACCAGGAATGTACAGAACGCCATTTGTGCAGGCCTCAGCCCATTCGAAGAAACATAAAAGGGACCCGTCAAGACCCAGTAACTCCTCTCAGTGGGTCACACTGCAGAATCATATCCATGCTGGCGTGCTGTGATCGCTTTAATACACTTCATTGGAACCAAACAGTATAAGCCATTGGATAAGGTGGCAAGAGTTTAATTTCATAACTGTAAACACAGCTATAAATTGTAATCATACCATAAATAGTTATTCACATCTGCACTTACTTTTGGCCAGAATGAGGGACCCAAAGGCAACAACGATGACAAAGATGGCACAGATGGCATCCAGACGCACAGCGAACCATCGAGATGTTGTCAAAAACAAGAACCAAGCCTCTGGATTTGTGAACAGTAAGAAGTAGGACAAATAAGTTCAAAGGCCATATCAACTGTAGTGAAAGTGCATCACGATACTTATGCAGGGAAGGGCAGGCAGCAGGCTGCACACTTGAGAAACCTGAAGGTTCCAGAAAGGCAGGCAATGCAAGGCAATATATGGTCCTCATACAAAACAGTAGAGTGGCTTTTGGGAAGATGTACTGAAATATATAACCTGGAGGTGATAAGCAGAAATACCAGCATGACAAAGAACATGGGAAACAAATGGTCCCCTAAGTGCACTTCTTGCATGATGTGAAGTTCACTGACTCATATGGCTGACTATTTACAGTTCTATAGCAGACAGTGTTGCTTAGTGGCTGTTTCTAAATGACCAGCCTACTAAAAGGAGCTGTATGTGGTTTTCAAAGTGTCATTTCTTCATCATTAAAATACAATAAAGGTTGCAAAGATGGGCCAGTATTTTGTAAATTAAGAGGTAATTTCAAAATTTCTAAGTGGAAACTTCACTCACGTGAAGATAATACATATCAAGTGGGCAGCAAATCTGGTAACTGAGAAAATGATGTCTTCAGTCTGCCACCCCAGATGCCCTAAATCAAAGGTTGGTAATCCACAGCCTGTGGACCAAGAAGGGACCATCACCTGTTTTTGTAAATAAAGTTCTCCAGGAACACAGCCACAGCCCCATGCTGATGTGCTGTCCATGTTTGTTTTCATGCTATAGCAGGGACAATATGGTGCACAAAGCTTTAAACATTTGCTAGGCAGCCTTTTGCAAAAACAACAACAAAAATGTTTGCTGAACCCTGCTCTAAAGGGACAGAGAGCCACAGGGGACCGAAATGGATGGATCATGCAAGCCAATTGGGGGAAAACAGGAATGGGCAGAAGGATTCGAGAGGAGTCAAAGCCCATGGGCAGACAGACAGGAAGATGTGCTAAGATGGGACACAGCGCCATGCCTGATGGTAGGCAGAGGTGCTAACCAACAAGGCTACCTGGTCAGGAGGGATCAAGCCCAAGGGAGCAACAAATCTCAGCCTTTGAAACCACTTCCAGAAATGTACAGACCTGAATGTAAGTCCTGGTGTGCATCAAATAGCTCCTGACACCTGTCTTCAGCTCTGTATGCTCGGATGGTCCAGAGCCCCTGGAGGGAAGAGGATAAATGGGAAAATACCGGACTCCGTGCTGCAGAAAGACAGATAGACACAAAACAGAGGAAGCTCAGCGAGGCCAGATGCAAGGAATCCAACTGCCTACTATGCTCCTCAAGTGTCCTACCGCATAGCAAACTCAGAGCTTCCTAGCAGGCTTCAAGTTTCCAGAGGAAACATTCCCAGAAGCCTGAAAAGGACCCTGCACATCCATTCTCAAACCCCTGATCAAACCAAGCTGCACTTTAAGGACCAGGAAATGAATGTCTCTGTTCAACCCACCTCTGACCAAATTCGAACTTTGTTATTATTCCTTTTGCTAACTCATCCATCAAGGTCTTTTCCTCCATATTCTTCCCAGAAATCTCTCTGAGCGGAAATTATTTTTCACTGATTTTTTTTTTGGCCATACTAAAAAATAATGTTGCTAGAGGACTCACACACTGAATTATGAGCTATTTATATATCTGTCCTGCACTAAATTATTACTTTAAGGCTGGGATTTGGCCACTCTTTCCTGCTAACTAGAATAGCACCTAGCATGGCACAGGTGTTCGGTGAATAAGCTGAACAGACAAGTGTGTCACCTCCCTTCCTCCCAGGGAATCTTCCTCTGCCCACTGTGGTGAGAAGAGTCCTCACAGTCACCATGCACCTGGGTGTCATACTGCACTTGTGCCCATAGGACCTGTCCAGCCAAGATGTTTTTGAACGGTCTTGCCTTGAGTCTTAGGCGGTTGAAGAATGTCTGTATAACCACTCTGCTGGAAGGCTGTCCTTGTATTTGAAGGCCACTAGCCATGTGTGATTGTCCCCACCTTTCTAGGATCTGACTGTGGCCTTAGCGGTATCATCATCTTAGCACAATCTAAAAGACTGATTCTCCTTTGTCCATCTTTGTTTTGATTTGGGGCACAGAAGTCCCACCACTGACTGTTTCAAGCACACAGTATCCTGACCACTAGGACCTGGTGCTGCACACAGGGAGACATATGGACTGCCTGCTGCCAGGCAGGACCAGCTCTGTGACGGTCTCTTTTCCCTATGAACAAGGCTACAGGGAGGTGGGGATGGATTGGGAGGCTGTGACACACAGTACACTGTTCTTAACACTGTCTGGGATGAACCTGTGCTTTGTGAGGAGGAAGTATTAAGGAATCGTTTTGTCACCTGTCCATCTTCTAGAGAAGACCTGTTGAAAACATGGAATGTATGGGAGAAGTGAAGGTAAATCATCTTTTACCAGGCTGCATATACTTCATAAAATGATAAGGGATAAAGGATCCCAGGAAAAACTCGAACTTACTCCCTAGCACTTCCCAATGCCTGTCTGTGGTCCAACCCAGGAGAGCTCACTGTGAACAAGGGCACTATGCATGCCTGGTGGGGGTGGTGTACATATGTGACTAGATACAGAACTGCCTTATAGCCAGCATGGTGACTCACACCTGTAATCCCACTTACTCTGAAGGCAGAGATCAGAAGAATCATGGTTAGAGGCCAGTCTGTGTAAAAAGTTAGCAAAATCCCATTTCAACAAATAAGGTGAGCATGGTGGTGCACACCTGTAATTCCAGCTTCACGGGAGTCACAGGTAAGAGGACTGTGGTACAAGCTGGACTAAACAAAAACATCAGACCCTATCTGAAAAAGAAATGAAGTAAAATGTGCTGGGGCACAGCTTAAGTGGTAGAATGCTTGCCCAGCCAGCGCGAGGTCCTGAGTTCAAACACCTGTACCACAAAATAAAAAACAAACCCAAAAATAACAAAAAACTGTTTTATAAGACAGAGTACACAATTATACAAGTAAGGAAGGAGCAGGCTTCCACAGAGTAGAGATGGAGACACAGCTTGGCTGGGGCCTGCTGACCACCCTTTCCTCCCCACGTTTCTTGCCTGCCCAGGATACATGACGGGGGACACTGTTAGACGCCTATGTTGTGACACTGCTTTCAGAAAGAAAACCTTTCCTGAACACAGACTTGCTAGTCAGGACATGATCAAATGCCTTCTTGTATCTAACTCAGGGAGACAGCCTTAGGTGATGCTGGGGTAGCTCTCCTCGTCCAGCTGTGGGTTTGTGGTCTTACACCAGCATCCACACTGCTCTCTCTCTTTAATACACTGAGTAATATTTTAGTCCTTATTTATTTTGGCCGCCTTTAATTTTGTACTTTTAAGATGGTAATGTGAGAATAAGAAGTCTGAGCTCAGGCTCCAAATAAGAAAGGTGGGAGACCTGCATGGCCCTTTTCTGTAGACTTCAGGGGATGGTCCAGCCTGCCCTTGCACTTAGTCACTGCAAACAGGGCACTCACAGGGATGACCAACCCAGGAGGCTGTAGGACCCATAACCCTACCCAAGAGAGTGCCAAGAGTCTAGCTCCAGAGCCCAGAGAACCCACTAGAACTGTGCTCGTTTCTAGAACATGGTGGTGTCATAACATGAATGCTACTTCATAACTGAAAATGCCAAAGAGAAGAAGGCAGGGCTGTTGGTCACCCAGGGAGGGTCCCTGAAGGAATTCTTCAGTGTGGCCATCCTCAAGGGCTTTCTTCATCAGAACAAAGTCACCACTGGTCCTTTCTGGGTGGGTTTGAGGACAGGGTTCACTTTAGAACTCCGGCGTCATCCAGCCTCAAAACACCAGGAAACCCAAGGCCAAGTCCTGTACTTAACCTCACCCCAAGAGTTACCAAGGTATGGCAGGAATCTGCATGTTTGAAAGACAATCCTGTTTCATGCCCTACGATGGCCAGGCAGGATTGTCAGTTGGGGTGAACTAGAGGGACAGCAAAGACAATTAACAGGTATCAGAAAACAGTGCATGTCAAAGCCTGGGATTATTTTACCTTTTCCCACATAGACTTGGGAGGCTACCCTGAAACAGACTATACAACATCGTTGACATTTGTCGACAGTTATAACCCCACATTTCACTAGATCAACAGCTGTGTTTTTTTCTGCTCTTTGGGACATATCCTAAAGGACTGCATATCTTCTCGGGAGGAGCAGGGCAGAGAGTTGCAGACCCATCAAGGTCCTGGTCTACCAGTGTTCTTCAGGGTATCATTAATGCTATGGAAGACATTCTAGCTATTAATATATTTTTAATTCCCTTCTGTGGAAGGTTCTAGTGCTTTGGTAAGTAGCTAGTAAACACTTCCCATTGTCTCAGGCATTCTGATGAAAACTCCACAGGGCAGGTATTGTTATAGCCTTGACAAAGGGAAGAACAGACTTGAGGCATTGAGAATACTGCCCAATTAAGTAAGTTAACCAAAGTAGTGGAGTTGGGTGCTGGATTCCAACTCTTATTTCCCAGGGTGTGCTTTTAATTTGCACCAGTGTCTGGAAGGGAGAATAGTCAGAGTTGAAGATTCTCTAGGTTTGGAGTCCATGGTTAGAAAACTCCCAAATCTTACTTAGCTAATATCCAATAGGCTTCTCCATTACTGTATTTCTTACTAAGTATCTCAAGTTCAACAATACTCCTGGGAATCTGACATGGAAACTTAAAAGTAACAGACTCAAGGATCTATGGTCTGAGAACATGTGGTAAAGGTTAGCTCTCTGCTAACTGGTGTCCAAGGTAGACATTGCTAATGTGACCCATGATAACATGGCACCCTCACACAGACAGAATTCTTCACAATTTAGGCAGCGCTAAATGAGTAGAGTTGGCTAGAGAAATACAACCAAGTGTCATTCTGGTTTTATGTACTTCTCTGTGACTGAACATTGCTACGTTCAGTTTTCCAAAATAAAAAAAAAATATATATGACCAATTATCATTATGATTGCTTAAATTCCAGTGTATGGTTCCAGAAGCAGCTAGACAGTAGGATCTGAAAATAAACCTCAGGACTCTAGTAGTCTATCAAGTGCAGGAACAAAGCAGTTCGTGTTTCTTGCGGTGGGAATCAGGCATCCTCTTTTTTGGTGATTATATCCATGGCCTCAAAAAACACCATGAATTGTTGCTTAGAAAAAACAGTGGAAAGGTTACTTGTGACACAGGGACCTACACCCAGCTGGCTATCATCGGTTCATTTGGTTATCTGAAGGTGTGGAGACGGGAACGTCCATATTACAAATTGTTGTTGTAGCCGATGAGAGTGCAGGAAAACCCAAGTGTTCAGCAGCGGCCACGACAAAGTTGGGAGAACCTCCGTATCAAAATTGTGTCAAGGCTTGTGGTATGTTCTGGCCTTCAGGAGAGAACATCCACCATGTTTCTTACATTCTTATGCCCTCTTTCTCCACTTCTACATGGATGAGAAGCAACTCTTGCCAAAGATAAAAATCTCTATCAAGGTGTTCCTTCTGAAATGAACAATCCTTCCTCAAATATACTCGAAGCTTCCTTTCCAATGAGACTGTTGAATAACTCCATTCCATCAGCAGCTTTAACTCTTAAAACATCTATAGCCTGTGTCCACGCAAAAGACTGGCTAGGCCACTGCAATGCACAACTGAGGGACCTTCCAGCAATGCTAATCCTTTATGCTCTTCCTTCATTGAGTCCCCTCATGGGGGCAACAAGTCATATCAGCAGAGAGTTACAAGCTTGGGAACTATTCACTCTGCCTTCCCCTGGAACACTTCACAAGATGGGACCTCACAGCAGCTTAGCTGGTTCTCCTAAGGATTGAGAAATTTGTCTATAGTTTTTATGAATCCACTCTACTTTATGCAGACACTTAGGACAAATGCCTCTTAAAAGTTTATTATTGAAAAAGAGACACACATATATAGAGAGAAAAAACTCCTGTGTCCTGATATTGTCCTGATACATATTTTTCACTAAGCCGATAATGGGAACCATTAGATTCAACATTTCTCTTCTGAGCCTAGCTTTCAGAAAGTCGAGTTGGCATTCAAGAGCAGTAACTGTCCATCACAGAGGTTTTCTGATACAAACATCATCCTTCTTTACTTTTTAGTTATCATCCTTATACTTTTTCCTCAGTAAAAATTCTATTCTCCTTATGGTTTTTCATTTTAATAATAATGAAATATTTGTGCATTTTTAATGAGATGAGCTCCCCTTTTTTCATTCTCTCTGATTACCTGTAGAATAGAGTGATTAATCATAAAACACTTTCCCTGTTATCCCAAAACTAAGAAGCTGAATAGAGCAAAAGACTAAATGCTCCCTCTCCTGTGGTCTCCAAAGGGGATTGTTTTCAGCATCCACTTACATGACTGGTCTGGGAAAAAGAACTCAATGTGGCATGATACCAAATACCACCCATAACAAGGAACAAAATGGAAAAGAACAATGCTTATGTTTTCAAACTATTTAATAAATGCAACCCAGTATCAGCAAGTAAAAATTATATTTTTCAAGTATATTACTTCTGACATATGAGTGAGTATATTTCTCATATCTCCTCCTTCCCTTTCTCTAATTTTTTCCTATCTTTGTCATTTCCAGAATCTTTAGGGAAAGAAAACTACTCTAAATATTTTCCTCCTAATTCAGTTCCAACACACAAGGAAATATTTTATTTATCTAGAAAAGTGGTTATTGTGTGCCTGTGTTGTATGCAAGAAGGATGTCATGAACAAGACAGAAAGGATCCTTGTCTCCAGCAGAATATTACATCATTCATCCCTTCCTTGTGATAAATTCAAAGTTGCACCTGGGAGGCCACCAGTTTCACTCTCCCTGAAGACTACAGTGACCAGTGGTGGCCACAATTACCTAATGTTCCATTATCTAATGTTGATGAGGTGAGAAATTCTGGAAGACAGGTTCTGCAGAATTTCAGGTGTCTCTTTAATTATGGCATAAATGAAAGTTTGGTTGCATTTCACATCTACACGAGACCCTGGATACTCACTTGTAGATTCCAGGCGTTTGACATCCCTTGATGTTTCTAAGAAATATCGCCGAAGAACCAAGAAAATGATGGCAAGAGGAACCAAGGGTATTGCAATCCAAGGAATCACGGCGGCCGCAATGGCTACCACACTGATCACAAGGAGCAAAGTCTGGAACAGCAAAAACAGAGACAGGCCTCCTTAGCAAGAATTCTTTTCAACAACAGACTTTAATGGGTTGTCTTGTTGGGATTCCACTCCTTTCTTTGAAAAGACTTGTTGGGATAGCAAGGAATGCTTTTTCATCCCAGAAATAACAAAGGCACAGGTGGCACTGATATTTCTCTACCCACCCGCTATGAGCCGGACACCATGAAAATGTTTTGAGCAGTCGTTCTTTAGATACACTTATTAGTCCTGTGTGGTGGGCATTTTTATCCCCTCCCCATGTAATGGATTAGAAAGCTGAGGCAGAGTAAGATTGAATCCCAAACTGCTGTGAATCATTAGACATGACTAGGGAAATTGGCAAGCAGCTATCAAGGAAGAGGAGTCCGGGAACCTCCACTGTGCAGAGGTAAAGAATTCAGTGCTCAGAAAAGGAGGAAGTCAATTTCCATCTTTACCTGTGGACGTGGATAGTACTCTCTCTTGGTTTTCTACCTATAATTAACACTTACTGGTGGTGTTTATGTATCTGGCCATATGTTAAACATGTCACATGTCATTTAAACCTGAGATGCCCTAGAAAGCAGGGTCTTCTTGTCATTTTATAGACATAGACACTGAGGCAGAAGGAAAGTAACTTGACTGGATGGATACAGTATGGGTCAGCGAGCTGGCGAGTTCAGAGCATTAACTACAACACCTGCCTCTGGTGTACAGCCAACATCTTACTGTTCAGGACTTTTTTTTTTTTTTAACTTACTTGGGACTTGCAATTTGTCTTTTTCCTTTAAATACCCTTATTTCGGGAAATTCAGAGTTCATCAACAGGCCAAACAGAAAGAGACGAGAACTATGATAAAAGTTGCAATATTTTTTGGAAATCTGAGGAAAAGTTTTTATAAGAAGTAAATAACTTCCAATGTCTAGAAGGTTTTTGAAAATATACTATCTCCTGGATACACATTAAGTTTTCTACCATTCTAAGTATTCAAAAAGTCTACTTTATTAAAGGCAAATGATGATGGCAACAGCAGATACCATTTATCAGGCAGTTACTATATGAAAGACACTGTACCTAACAGTTCTAGAGCATTCCAATTACTCATCACTCCCCTCTGTGAGGTAACTTTACCTGGGGAAACACTTGGTCTAAAAAGACAGCGAGTAGAATAGAAACCTAAGTCAGTGGATGATGCTGACTTAAGTGTCCATCTTATCAGGAAAATGTGAGTCATGGTCTGTGCCTTTACGCAACAGAAACACCACGCAGCAGTCTGTCTGTCTGCTAAGGAGGCACAACACTAGCTCTCTGAGAACGGCCAGGCGCGGGTCTGATGCAGGCCTCTGAAATTCACAGTCTTACACAGAAACACCTGAGCACAGCAAAAGTCACCAACTGCTATGGAAAAACCAGAGAGAAACAGATGAGCACCATAAAGAGAGTTCTAAGAAGGCTGTGTGCCTAACTTCAAAAGCCTCGTTTGACAAAAAGAGCAGTCCAGACAATCGGGTGCAGGTGGCCGTCAGTGTGCTTGACACATGAACACAGGTGTTCTATGGCCCCAGCACCTCACCTTCTGCCCATTCACCCTGCTCCCCAACCAGGTGCAACCCCAGGTGTGGCTTTAAAGGAAGCATGGGTGGTGTGACACCTCACAGAGACCCTCATGAGTGGTTTGGAGCTCTTCTAAACCATTTTCTCAGGGGATCCAGACATCCACACCGTGATGGAGAAAAGGAAGACTGTCATGGCTGCTTGCAGATGAGGAAAGCAATGCCCAGGAGGTGACATGGAGAAAGCCAGGAGCAGTTTATACTCAGGGAGCAGGGACCCCAAACAGGGAAGCGCTAAATCTCAAGGAGCAGAAAGGAAACCTCTCTGAGCTATGATCTCAGGGCAGGGGCCCCAGGGAATCAAGCTAAGAACAGACCAGTTGCCTTCCCTGTCTCACTCAGACTCTCAGGAGGTGTCAACACAAAAGCCAGAGTGAAGAGGAACAGAATTATGAAGGAAAAAAATCCCAATCGTAAGTGGAAGGAATTTTGGCTGTCTGACTTCCTGCCTTTTATACCTAAAAGCTGAACAATTTCTTATGGCTACTCGATTAACTGACACACCACACCCCACAACACCAGTTAGAAGTCAAGCTGCTTCTTCACGCTTATGGGAAGGTCTTTCTAGTTCCTTCTAGGCCTGGTCTTGAGGAAAGTCATTAGGTTCACCCACATTAATTGTCGGAAAAAAATGGTCATGTGTCAATTATGAAAACAATTTAAAAATTTTAAAGCAGACGCACATCATTGATTAGACAGTATTCACAAGTTTCACTTACCTGGCTCTCCCTAGGATGAAGGACTTCTATGGCTAATCCAGTTGACCAGATTAACCTGGGAAGCTTAACCCAAGTTAAACACCCAACACCCACCTATCTCATTTGATTCCAAACCCATTTGATATCTCACCCCCTTGGCTGTGCCAAGACACACAGAAACAAAGACATGTGCACAGCAAGAAACAGAATGACCTGGAAAAGCAGTTAACTCAAACCCTCAAAGTTCTGAGATCTCAGGGGAACCATCATTGTATTTGCTTGTATCCCATTTGGGCACACCAGGGGAGAATTCTACCCAAATTTTATAATTCCACATAAACAAATACAAAGTTTTGGATGAAATCTTTCACTTGAGTTGAGATTTCACAATTTATAATATGTCTGTAGTTTTCAGAGAATAATAAGAGAAGGGGAAATTCTACAAGGCTAGTACTGAGTTTTTGGATAGGGTTTAGGGCCAACTCTTAAATATTTAACATCTCCATCTCTCTGAGTCTTAGGAAAAAGTGGGCTATACTAACAAATTAAAGAGAAGGTGGTGGGGAAGTAAGGAAGATAATGTACTAAGGTGCTCAGTGATTCATGTGCAACAAGTAGGGGTTGCAGTTACCTTCTTACCATTCTATGGTGTGCTGTCCTTGCTGCCAGGAGCCGTGAGAGGAGAGATGCACAGTAACAGATCTTAAGACTATCACGAAGTTAGACCTGAATGGTCGCTTGTTCTGACCACTGGAACAGCTTGGCATCACCCATGGCATACTGGAGCTGGTGCTTTGTTTCCTAAATACCATGTGTCCCAAGGAAACAGTGCCTTCTCTCTATCATATTTAAGGTCTACATTGTTTGAATATGCACTTTTGATGTAAGATGGCTAAAAACCTCAGGTCTACTATAATTTCTGTCTTTTCTATGTTTTCCCCTAACTCTGTGCATACTAAAGATTGATAACCTTAGGGAAATGGAGGTAACTCAACACTTTTTAAGAGGCTTCTTTTTTTATTTCAAATCCTTTTCCTGTGTTTCAAGCCTTGCTTCTTTTTGGTGAAGAATTACTGTTCTGAAATTGTTGGGTACTTCTGGGACACTATGGGGAAAGGTGGCGGTGGATCTCTGAATCAGTAACGGTGTCCATTCCAGGCTGGCCTTGTTAGGTATAAGCAAACATCCTGATTGGATGTCAAGGTAATGAAGGTAGAGGACTTCAGTCACAACCACCTATGGAAGGAATATCCAATGTACACATCATCCTCAGAAAGGATGCTGTCTTGTGAGCAGCTGTTTCCAACAAACCACATATCTAAATGAATTGTCCATAAAGTATGCAAAAACAATAAAGGAAAAACATGATGCTCATGAAAAATGCTGACTATTTTATTTAAAATACTGTCCAATAAAAACTACAAAAGAAGACATTGTTTTATTGGTAGTACATATGGCAAATGTCCCCATAACACTGAAGAAATCTTCTGCATCTAGTTGACAACCAAAGAAAGGTACAATTGTCTTCCCCTCTGAAATACCCCAAATAGAACACTTCATGAGGCTTTTTGTGTGTGACCCCCTTAATATTTTCACATGAATTTTCTAACTGAATTCTCACATCAAATCGAAGTAGGAAGAATTACCATCTTCACTTACACAGCAGGAAACAGAGGCTGAGTTAAGTGACATGAGAAAGGGAGATGCTTCAGAATCATTTTAATCCCAAGACTGTTCTTTTCATTTCTGCATGTTGGTGTGTCCCCCATATATGTAAGATTCATATTTGAAAAAAATAATCTCTAAATACACTCCTGCTTTACAGATTGTCCCTTTCTTTGTATTTTCTAATTTTGTTGGGTTTCTTATGGTTGTGCCTCTCCTATGAGGTAGCCTATCATGGGTTCCCAGATAATTAGGAAGTAATAACCTTTCAGATCATGAAGCAGAGTGAGCATTAAAACATCTAAAGATGCTTCCTAATTGCACACAGCAATACATGCTGCAGAGTAAATATTATTTCGAGTTAATGGCCTGGTGTGGTAGCTTACATCTGTAATCCTAGCTACTCAGGAGATGATGACTGGGAGCACAGTGGTTCAAGGCTGGCTCTGATAAGCAAAAGTTGGCAAGACCCCACACCAATAAATAAGCCAGGTGTGGTGGTGTGCTACCTGTTATCCGAGCTGGACAGGAGTCTACAGGTAGGAAGATCCCAGTGCAAGGTCAGCCCTGGGCAAAACCACAAGACCCTGTATGAAAAATAACTAAAGCAAAAAAGGGCTGGGGCATGGCTCAAATGGTAGAGCACCTTCCTAGCAATCGGGAAGCCCTGAGTTCAAATCGCAATACTGCCAGAGAGAGAGAGAGAGAGAGAGAGAGAGAGAGAAGAGAGAGAGAGAGAGAGAGAGAGAAATATTCTTTCAGGTTTAAAAAAGAAAATTTCATAAGTAAGATGAATTTTAAGTCTAAAAGGCAAAATGACAGAGAAGGGAAAGCAAAAAGCCAAATTTAATTTTAACAATGTATACAACTCAGGACATAAAATAAGGGTTGAATATTTTATAGGCTCAATATCTGAATTTGTTATGCTGGTTAAAAAGAAAGAGACGTAACATTTCCCCAGGAAGACTCTTCTCTAGAATCTTATATTCTAATAGTACAAACTTAACACATTCCTTTCATATGCAC